TGATTTTCCCTGCCAGAGTACATGAAAGGAGTCTCTAAATGCCCTTGAACTGCACGAAAATGCGTTGCAGGGCTGAAGTACCATGGCACAAAGCTTTTTACATCACTGTAAGCTGGCCATAAAACAAATGAAAAATGTTGAGGAATAATCTGTAGAATGCAAAATCGCAGAAAAGTATTTTGAGAGATATATCTGTGGAGATTTTTATCTCCATATGCATTTGAGACACAGCAAGGTCTTGATTGGTCAAAATGAATAGGACTAATGATCCCTCAGAAATTCAAAGGCTTACTATTAATTACTTCTCAACAGCTGGCTGTATTTATAGTACTACTTGGCATAAGTTGCTGAGTAAGGAAATTGCAGATTTAGAAGTATCCCTAAATAATGTACCCTCCCATCCCAGGGTAGTAGCTACAGGAAAAAAAAAAAAAGAAAAGAAAAATCTAGTTCACAGCTTTCATACTGAAGCCAGGACTGTTTCCTATTACAACAGAATTTTATTTGGTCCTCACAGCATGGTTTTTTTTTGTTTGTTTTTGTTATTGTTTTGTTTTAAATAGTTATCAACATTTCAAGACCAAGAAATTCTTAGGGTAAACTGAGAGACAGTGCCAGACTTCCCGAACTTCTTGTACAGAATGACATCTATTCCTGGTCTTCAGAGCAGTACTATCATTGGAATGTTCTGCAGTAATGGAAATGTTATTTCCATCACAACAGCCACTAGCCACATGTGGCTATTGAACATTCAAAATGTGGCTAGTGTGACTAAGATTGAGCTTTAAATTGTGTTTACTTTTAATTAACTTACATTTCTATAGACATTTATGGTTAGAGGGTATCATACTGGACACTGCACTTCTAGAGAAACCAGACAGGTTGCAGGAGTAGTAATTCAAAGTACTACACATCTGGATGTGTAGATTTTCTTCTATGTTTTTTTCTAGTTGTTTTACAATTTCTGGTCTTAAGTCTAAGTCTTTAGTCCATTTTAAGTTGACTTTTTTACATAGTGTGAAATGAGGTTCAAATTTCATTCTTGTGCATGTGGATATACAGAATATTCATACTTTACGACATTCAGTAACACCATTTATTAAGTATAAAATAATTCTAAACTCTCAATCAGTTTAGAGCAGATTTTTACAATTAAATTCAATCAAAATTTAAATCTCATTCAGTTTTTTCTGGTCTAGAAGAGAAGATGAAGGGAAGGAAGCATGTCGCCATTCTACTTTTTGCTTAGCAGACAGCACAAAAGGAAATGTAATGTGATATTCAAATTTAAGCCTAAGAATACACTTGGCTAAAATTGGCTTTTGTCACATTTTAAAGTAGATGCATATTCTGCGATAAAAAGATGAAAGAAAATGCTAAAAAGATGAAACTCCCTACCTCATTCTTTGTCAAAACTCAAACAATTTTGGCTGTTATGTTAGAAGTCAGGAGAAGTGTTTTTTCTCATTATATTAAGTGTCCTTCAGAGAATAGACTCATTTGGGGATGAATTTATTAATGGATACAGCTGTACTCTTTCCTCCCAAACATGATTCTCCAACAGAGGGGTTTGCCACCTCAGTGGATGGCACCATTGCCCATCTAGCTGTTGAAGTTACTCATCAGGAGGCATTTTGACGTCTCCTCCTCTGCGCATCTCCCACCAGGTTCTGCTGATTTTACTTTCTAGACAGGTATCTTTCCAGTTCATTCTGACAACATCCATGTTAACACCACCCACCCTGTGTCTCGCTCCTACTCCTGAAGCATCCTCCGAACTGCTCCTCCTGCATCCACTGTTCCATACACTCCCTTGCAAACCTCACAGTGCAGTTATGGTGAACTTTTAACAAATCTAAGTATATTCTTCCCATGCTTAAAATGGGTGCATTTCAAATGAAACTCCAAATCCTAACTGGCCTGCTAGACCCTGTGTAATCTAGCTTCTGCCTGCCTCTCTAGCTTTGAGAAGAGCTGTCTTTTTTAGGATTAGGGTTACCAGGACATGGCAATACAATACATCTAAAATAACAGTGGCTTTAACAAAACTGAAGTTTATTTTTCTCTTGTGTAAGTAGGCAATCCATGGACTGGTGTGGCAGCTTCACAGTCTGCCAGGATCTAGGTGGCTTTGATCTTTGAAACTCTACCACCCTCAGCACAGAGCTTCCAACTCACGGTCCTTAGGCCATGGCTGCTCTAGCTGCCCCATCACATCTGCATTCCAGCCAGGAAGAAAGTAGAAAAGGAAATAAATGGCCAGTGCCTTCCCTTTAAGAACATTTTCCCAAGTTGCCTCCACTACTCCCACTGCATCCTGTTGTTCAGAACTTCGCCACATAGCCATACCCAGCTATGAAGAAGATTGTTCTTAGCAGCCAGAAGAACATACCCAGCTAAAATCCAGGGCATTATTGTTGAGAGAAAGGTGAGATACATTTGGAAAACCACTTAGCAGTCTCCATCACAAGAGGTAACGCCTCATTTTCTAGAGTAGAATATGAGTCAGAAATGTCTGACATAGAAAAATTAATAGATAGCACATAAGCATATTGTTAGAAATAGAGAGATACTAGAGAAAATGGCTGAAACTGTTGAAAATGGTTGCCTCTGGAAGGCAGGAACACAGTGAACCAGAGGACTGGTGTTTTGCATATTGTCTTTCAGTGCTGTATAATTTTTTCCATGAAGAACATATATATTTTGGTAAACATTGCATTTGAGGGCATTTCTTAAGGCATTGACTGAAGCCAGGCCCACGAGTATGTATTAGGACTGGGTGATTTTTCCCTGCAAAGCCCCTGAAGTTGTGTTTTTATTTCCCACCTTGCCAACCATCCCCGAGTCTTTGGTATTTATTCAGAGGTGGTGGTATATGCATGGTTATTGTCAAGGGTTGAGGATCATAAAGATCAGGTTTAAGACATTTGGCCACAAGCAGTCCCCCCTTTTTTCTGTTATTAGGACACATTCTGTTGTTTTCTATTACATAAAATACTGATGAGGCAATAAATGTCTGTGACTTAATGCATTTTGTCTTACTTTCCTGACCTGGGTTGATTTATAATAAGCATGTGCAGGAAACTTTTTCTAATTGGCAGCAGCACTCACCACTTAAAGTCCTTTTCCTCTACGGATGTTCTGTGACAGGGAATGTAGACACAGTAAACTATCATCTGCAGAAGATTGCTTATCAAAATTCACAGAGCCAGAGGCCCACGAGAGGTAGGGGAGAACTGGAACATGAGGTTGTGGAATCCCAGAAACTAGAAAGATAATTCTTTGCCGATCAAAAAGAAAGTTTTAATCCAAATGTATTCTTGTGAGACTTGAGGAATGATTACCTGTTTTTCATGAGAAATACACCAAATCTTACAATTGCAAGCCTTAATAGGTTTTGTCTGTTAAATAGTTAAGCCAAGAGGAATTGTTACTAATGAGAGACAAAAGTCTGAAAGGAAAACAATCATTGGGCTTGTATTTAATCACTTTTTATTTTCTCAGATCTCCATCATGTCATTATCTGGCTTTGGTGCTTACGTAACTTAATTAGGAGAGTTCAGGCAGCAATGGGAATAGTAGGGCAAAATGAAAGGGTAACAGTTTAAATGGATCACCTGCAGATGCGTGATATGGATGGAGATAAAGCCTATTAAGGACCTAATTTTAGAAGAAGCTCTTGACATCAGTCATTTGTGAAAAGGGGATTTTTTTTTATTACCTACACACAAGGTTCTGTACACTTGTCTACAAACCTTAAGCATTAGTGCATCTGATCATCAGCTTCTGGGATTACTAACACCAAGCCACTTTGAAAGAGCAGTCAAGGTTATTAACTTTGGCAGGAAATGAAAATTTGGCCTTAATATACATGTGAAATTGAATTGTCTGTAGCACAAAGCTTTGGAGATTACCCATGCAAAATGAGAAAACTATCTAAATTTAAAATTGTCCTCAGTACAGTGGAAAGTAATTTTGCAGACAGCATTTTTACTGCATTGAAATCTGTGAAGAGATTGGCTCTATTAATTTAAATTTAAACAGAGGTTCTGTGTCTTCTAAAAATGGCAAATGAGATGGAAAATGTACTTTAAGGGAAAAAATGGGTTTCTGGAAATGCTGCAGGCAGGCAGGCTTCCTACTCCACATCTTTGAGTCTGCCCTGAGACCAGTTGGCTTCAGAGGGAAGGCTCTTTCCACTGTGACAGGCATTTGAAATCAGGACATGCAGACAGTGCCTCTATTACATATTTCAGGCTTCAAGAAGAGGGTAAGAAACTGATCAAGTAAAGCCCGAGGCAAAAGTCATTGGTGGCTTTTACATTACAGTTACCAAAGTAGGTGGGTCCTTGACAGAGAAAAAAATCAAGGGGTTGAATATTTTTTCTCAGCTATCAAATAACTTTCTTATAATCCCTGCCTGGAAGGATACTGGGGCAGGGGATTTGGTTACATTAACTACCTTTTCACTAAAAAACAAAAAAAAAACAAAAAAAAACAAAAAAAAAAAACCACACACACACTCACAAACCAAACTTTTACGTAAAGAGAAATTGAAGTTTTCATTCACTAGTCTTTGAGTTTCTTTAGTTCACGACAAACCATTTCTTATTAATTATTAGTGAATCGATTACATTTATTTGGAACCCTAGTTTAATGACACATCATTTCACCATCAAGAAGAATACATTAACACAATAACCAGAGTACAACAAAGATTAATAATAGGCTGTGTGTCTCTTTATTGGCCAAAGCCTTAGAGACCTTATGATTTAATAGAGTTGTCATAATGAGGAAACTGAGGACAAGTAGTTGGCTTATGCTGGTTTGTAGAGTTGCTTACTAATAGAGCTGAGCCTAGAATTAAAGTCACCCAAACTTTCAGATCATTAATATATTTGCTACAGGTTGTCAAGAATCACTGCTGAGTAGACACCATGCCAAAATAATAAAATAACTGCCTTTCCTCATTTTTACATTGCTTTCTTTTTGTTTTTCAGGTATTGCTGTGCTTTACTTACATCTTTATGATGTATTTGGGGACCCTGCCTACCTACAGTTAGCACATGGCTATGTCAAGCAAAGTCTGAACTGCTTAACCAAGCGTTCCATCACCTTCCTCTGCGGGGATGCAGGCCCCCTGGCAGTGGCTGCTGTGCTGTATCACAAGATGAACAATGAGAAGCAGGCAGAAGATTGCATCACACGGTAATCGTGTTTCTACATGAGGGTTATTTTCTAGACATCATTATGCATTAATTCTGCATATGTTAACAAAAGAACATTCTAGTGAGTTTACTTTTCTCTTAGATAAATCTCACTGCTGTCATTTGATCAATTCTCATATTATTCCTGTGTTGTAGTTAAGGAACAACGAATATAATCCCTATTTTATTGCAAGATATAAGACACTGTCATGTTCCAGATTAAACATCAGTTCAGTAATGTAAATGAGATCAAAAGCCTGAACATATGATTACTAATCCAAAGTGCTATCCAAGATCTGTAATTCAAGGAAATGCAGTTCAATTCCTACAGGTGGGCTGAGAGAGTCCTTCTAAGGGACCACAAACTGATTCAAAACGGCCTTTCTTAGAGGCAGTGACATGCACATCCTGATTTTCATTTTGGTATAAATTATGGTGGTCCACTAGAAGCTGGTGAATTATGAAGAATTATTAAATGTTTTTACTAATAGACTATAATTGTTGCCTTACCAGAGTTTACTAAGTACTCTTTCAGAGTTCTAAGAACCCTGGCTGCCATGCGACTCTGCATGCATTGCTCTTAGGCTCCCACTGCGCGTGCTAACACTCCAGCAACATTTTAACCAGTGACTGCCCCCGAGTTGACCATGGTGTTTGACTCCCACTATTCTTTCTTACAGATTACTGTTAGGATGGCATTACCATCACCGATTTAGTTTGTCTAGGATCCCTTGGCTAATCTTTACCCTGTTTGCTGGTGTATATTTCAACAACAGGCTTTTTGGACTTTTCAAGATGTGATAGTGCTATATTCAAAAAAGAAATGATTTATACCCCTATTGTTTAGGCATGTGTGTGTATATGCATATATCCCTTCTCTCCCAATCTTTTCCCATACAGTGATGTTTTCTTGTTGTAACTAACTTTTTCCACCGGAAATTGTAACAAAAAGAGGGGGTGGGAGTCTTTTGCTCCACCCATAATGATTTGGGAATCATTATATTGGATCATTTTCTGAATTGACATATACTTCAAAATACTTTTTTAAAATACACACCTATGCTACATTTCTTAGGGGCTAGACATTACATAGTATAACTTTAAAACACATTACTTAGTGCGTCTAGAGGAAAAAAACTGAACATTCCATTCCAGAGCTGAGAAGCTTTTAATATAAAACCTGTCACCAAGCTCGACCAAAATGAAAGATGAAACAAAACAGTGATTTCCCCCAAAGTTTAATTAAAGTGTGTTCCTTCCATAGTAGCTGACTTGCATAAGACTTGCCAATACAAAAACTGTTCCATACTCACCTAAATGTGAAACACAGAGACTACCTTTTAATTTTTTTTACATAGCTGATATTTAAAGCCATCAGCCAACAACTGCTTTAGAGGTCCACAAGATATTCTCATTCGGTGAATCACTGTTAAGTACCATCAAATCAAATTGTAGTGCTCCCAATATTCTATATATAATGCCAGCCTTTCCAATACGTGCAGCCAAATTTTAATAGTTTGCTGTGTGAGAAATGTTAATGTGTTCAATGAGACCAGGATTCATAGATTCAAACAGATGGGAATTTGTATCAAAGCACTAATTAAACAAAATTAAATATGTGTCTTTACCGGCTGCTTAGAGTCTTCTGCAGCTTATATACCTGAGGACAACACAGCAACTCTAGGGAGCACTTGCCAATCTTAACTCACCTATACAACCCTCTTCTTCATGAAATCTTGAGGGCCTATTCCTAACACACTCTTTGGGAAATGGCACAATATCAGTATTAGTGTATTAAAATTAAAACGCTCGTAAGAGTATGCTGAGATTTTTGTTTTTGGTGTATTGGTACTAAAGATGTTTTTGTCATTTACCTTTTTAAATTTTGACATTTCAACAGTATTTATAGCCAGTACGCTTGTTAAGGTTAAAAATATAGTGTGTGAATATAATAGGAAAATACACTATTTGTGGCTATAGCTTTGATTTTTTCAGATTTTTTATTTTATATAAAACAGAAAAAGAATGACTTGGAATGATTTGTAAGTTATGGACTTTGCTTTATCTTTTCAAAGGAAAAATCTAGAAATTTGACTTAATTTCAAGAAATCCAAAATTATTTCATATCAGTTTAGTAAACCTCCTTTAACTTTTTACTAAACTTTTCTCATTTTACAGATCTTTTGAGATCCCACACTCACATTCTCTGTGTACTGCCTTTGTTGTGCTTCATTGCCAACATCATGTTCTAGCTAGCTTGCTTTTTCTACATTTTCTTAATATAATATTCTTTCAAAATCATAATTTTTAAGTTTTAGAGACCAAACGGTCCTTTGAGATCATCAAAAGTCTAATCCTTAAATAAACTGAAATCCAAGGAAATCAGTGTTTCCCTGTAGTACATATTCTTAACCTTGGGCCTCTGAGAATCTTAGGGTTTCTGGAAGTGTATAAAACCTCCAAATTATATTCAGCAAGGAGAGAGCATTTGTGCTTTTCTTAAAGGGATCTATAACTCCCCAAAAGGAGGGTGTGTGTCTGTTTTCATCCCACCCACTTCTACATATCGGTGCCACAACATGAATAGAGTATGTGGCCTGTTCCCAATTAGATGGCTAACCTGACATATATAGTGCTTTGGGGCCAGTACTTAGAATGATGAAGCACGGTGGCTTTCCTGGTCCAGAAATGTATACCCTCCCTTCTTGTAGTGTGACAAGTCAGTAATGGACATCTTTTTTTTTTTTTTTTTTAAATAAGCAGAAAAGGGATTTAAAAATATTTATTGTGGTAAAATATACATAATATAAAATTTACAGTTTAACCATTTTTAAATGTACAATTCATTGGCATTAATTATATTCACAATGTTGTACAACCATCAGTACTATTTTCAAAAAATATTTTATGACTCCAACAGAAACTCTGTACCCATTAAAAAGTAATTCTCCATGCCCCCATACCCTCATCCCCTGGTAACCTATATTCTACTTTTTCTATGAATTTGCTTATTTTAGATATTTTATATAAGTGGAATTATACATTTGTTCTTTTGTGTCTGGCTTACTCCACTTAGCATAATGTTTTCAAGATTTATCTATGTTATAGAATGTATCAAAAATTAGTTCCTTTCAGTGACTAAGTAATACTCCATTGTATGTATACACCACATTTCTATTTTTTTAAAAGGCTATTTAGTAGGTTCTGGAGAAGGAAGCCTGGAGCCTATATAGCCAGTGTGGGGCTGTGAGTGCTTTGGGGGCTATGGAATTCCAGCTGCACTCCCTACTATATGATCTTGGGTAAATTACTCTAAACCTCAGTCTCTCATCTGTAAAATAGGAGATAATTTATGGAAATCACTTAGCATAAATTATAGCACCTAAACTAAAAATGTGATTATAAATGTTACCTATTATTTGGCTTGTAAAAATCATTGCTTATGCTTCTACTTTCTTTTTTTGTTATTAAACTTTAAATTCCGGGGTACATCTGTAGAACGTGCAGGTTTGTTTCACAGGCATACATGCGCCATGCTGGTTTGCTGCACCAATCAACCTGTCGTCTACATTAGGTATTTCTCCTAATGCTATCCCTCCCCTAGTACCCCACCCCGACAGGCCCCGGTTTATGATGTTCTTCTCCCTTTGTCCATGTGTTCTCATTGTTCAGCTCCCACTTATGAGTGAGAAGACATGGTGTTCGGTTTTCAGTTCTTGTGTAGTTTGCTGAGAATGATGGATTTTAGCTTCATCCATGTTCCTGCAAAGGACATGAACTCATCTTTTTTATGGCTGTATAGTATTCCATGGTGTATGTGTGCCACGTTTTCTTTATCGAATCTATCTTTGATGGACATTTGGGCTGGTTCCATGTCTTTGCTATTGTGAACAGTGTTGCAGTAAACATACATGTGCATTTGTCTTTATAGCAGAACAAGTTACAATCCTTTGGGTATATACCCAGTAATAGAATTGCTGGTCAAATGGTATTTCTGGTTCTGGATCCTTGAGAAATCGCCACACTGTCTTCCACAATGGTTGAACTAATTTACACTCCCACCAACAGTGTGAAAGCATTACTATTTCTCCACATCCTGTCCAGCATCTGTTGTTTCCTGACTTTTTAATGATCGCCATTCTAACTGGCATGAGATGGTATCGCATTGTGGTTTTGATTTGCATTTCTCTGATGACCAGTGATGAGCTTTTTTTCTTATGTTCGTTGGCCACATAAATGTCTTCCTTTGAAAAGTGTCTGTTCATATCCTTTGCCCACTTTTTGATGGAGTTATGTTTTTTTTTTCTTGTAAATTTGTAGATTCTGGATCTTAGCCCTTTGTCAGATGGATAGATTGCAAAAATTTTCTCCCATTCTGTAGGTTGTGTGTTCACTCTGATGATAGTTTCTTCTGCTGTGCAGAAGCTCTTTAGTTTAATTAGATCCCATT